GCAGCCTGCCCACATTCTTCCACATGACATACAGCATGGTGGAAGCAAAGAGGCTGTACTCAATGTTAAAGGGATACAGGTAGAGGTAACCCTGCTGGAAGATCTGGCAGATGGCTGTGTGGCACGGACAGTCTCCTCCCACCGAGCTGCCTGCACGCTCCGCTGTGGAGAGAGGGGCACAGAGCTGGACTGCCCTCCCGCCTTCCTGGAGGCACCCCACCGGAAAAGCCTCACCTTTCGACTGTGACTTTAGTTAGGGTGGAATCACAGTTGGACCTGTTCACCACCTTATCCCAAACACCTGCACTGGGCCTGGCATGGTCATTCATTGTACCAGGTATTTATTGAGCGTCTACTATGTGCCAGAGATGTCAGTAAACAATAGTAGCTGGCGCTCAATGAACACACATCTGTACTGCAGAACTGCCCTTTGTCCTTTAGGCAAACATTTCCGATCCTTCCCGGCTAGTAATCACCCCTGGCTCCCCAGCATAGGAGAGTTCTGGTCCTGAGAGATGGTGGCCCTCCTGGGAACCCCGAAAGTTCAAGCTTCCTCGCAGCTCTCCCCAACATCCGACTCAGCCCAGAATGTGAGCTGCTTTGCCCGGGAGTCTCCTGTGACCTCCCCTCATTTTGGTTTGCAGCCCATCTATAAGAACCTTGCCGTGTCCAGAGTGCACTTTATAGAATGCCTTGGATCTCGGCAAACATCCTTTTCAATCCCCAGAACTATGCCCACTGGTTTTGCAGGTGCAGAAACTGAGGCTCACGTAAGTAAAGTGTGGCTTGTGAGGGCAGAGCTATTGACCTACCTCCCAACCCCTGGGTAGATACCTTTCTAATGAGCCTCTCTGCACCCCTGGGGCCCCAGTATGTTAAGTTGGCCACCTCTCCGGGTTGTTTTAAACCATCCTCAGGAACTCTCTGTATGTGCAAGGTGGCCCTTTATCAGTCTTGCTGGGCTGGGCTCTCCTCTAGGCTTTCCGTTCCTGGACCCTTCCATCCTGTGTGTGTATGTGTGTGTGTGTGTGCGCGCGCGCGTGCGCGTCTGTGTGCGTGTGTGTGTTCAGGCAAAGTCCAGGTGGACCTAGTCATCTAGTCTGGTCCTGGTTGGTGGGAGACCCTACAGAAGTCGAGAGAACTAGGACCAGGGGGCCTATGGACTCTATTTTTCCTCGGTATAGCATATTGGTTCAAAGCAAAGATGATCTCAACACTAGTTCTCCAATTTCAAGCTCTGTGACCTTGGGTAAACTATTTAACCTTCTATGCCTTACTTTCTGTATCTGTAAAATGGGAATAATAATAGTGCCCATCTCATTGGGAAGTTGTGAGGGTTAAGTAAGACCAAGTGTCTAGGACACTTAGCACAGCACCTGACATACAGAGTCAGTAAAATGTCACTATTGTCGTGGTGATTATTCTTTCTAGCTTCTTCTTGACAGACTCTAGCCCATGCTTCTGCCATCAAGCCAACTCTGCCTCCCTTCCCTTCTCTCCACTTTGATCACCCTTGCCTTTTCATTCTGGAGCCCAAGTCTTTGGTGGAATGGAGACCCGAACCATGGGGCCAAGGCCGCATCCTCCAGAATGAGAAGATGCCCCCTGACACCCTCCCTCAGGTGTCACCTACGCCTGTATGGAGCCTGGAGGAGGGGAGGCTCTCCTCGCTTGGGAGGGCAAGGGAGACTGACTGTCCTGGTGCACAAGCATCCAACCCAAGGCCTAGAAGTCCCAGACCAGGGTTAATCTGGAGTGAACACTCACGGTCAGGAGCGAAGCGGTGGTGGCTGGTGTTGCTGTGGGAACTGTCATAGGAGTGAGTCTGGTGCACGGACTCGTCCACCACGGCCGCCATCCAGATGGCCAGGTTGGTGGTGAGGGTGAACATGAGACCACACCTGTTTGGGGAGGGGGAGCAAAGAGGCCAGTGGGAGTCTGGCCCCTCGTGGGTCCCTGGGGCAGATGGAGAACTGGGGAGCTAGACTAGGAGATGATGCCGGGAAGCAAGAAAGCGGTCAGGCCCCTGTGTGAACAGAGAAGTCGAGTTTGGAAGGCACTCTAAGTCTGGCCAGGATGCTACCCAAGAGAGGGCGTGGGGCGGGGAAGGGGTTCAGGGGCTCAGGCCACTGCTGCTCCCTCTTCTAGAGTAAAGCACATATAATTTACCACACAACCCATCCCACCAAAACACACAGGCACACACATATACACAATACACACAGCACAGGACAAAATGGTGGAAATCTTGCTGGTGAAGCAAAGGGGCCTTGGCTGAAACCACACCCAGGCGGCAGAAAGTGGACCCCATGCCCCAGGTTGGAAAGCCCTCATCTCTCAAGCCAGATGGGCATTGAGCTGTGGAGCAGGGACTCACCGGGTCAGATCCAGATGGACGTGAATACAGTCCTTAGCGGAGACCCAGAGAAAGTAAGTCTGTTGAGAGAGAGCGGGGCGGGGGGGGGG